TTACATCTGCATCTGATCCTCCTTGTCCATCGATGATGATTCCTAGGTACGTGAAATATTCCAAATCTTTCAGAGTTTCGCCATAAAGTGTGAATGGGTTGGTGTTCTACGTGTTGCATTTAAAGATATTGTTTTTTCCTTTGTGTATGTTAAGGCCTACTAATGCAGAGGCTGCTGCTAGATTAGGTGTCTTCATCTGCATGTGTTGGTGTGTATGGGATAGGAGGGCTAGGTCTTCTGTAAAGTTCAAATCGTCTAACTGATTATGAGCTGTCCATTGTATTTCGTGCTTTACCTCAAATGTCGAGGTCTTCATAATCCAGTTAACCACCAGAAGAAAGAGGAAGGGGAAAGTAGACAGCCTTGTCTGACTCCGGTCCTTACTTAGAATGCATCTGTCAGCTGTCCTCCATGCATGATTTTGCACTGGACAACAACAGATATTTACGCTGACCGTGAGATTGCTAAAGTAAATCAATATCCTGATTAAAGTATGCGTAAGTTTGTAACAATGGTTAGGTTGTAACACACGCGAATCTGTAAAAGAATTATAATTATCCAATCATTATCTATCTGTGTAGCATTTTCATTGACCCACGCTGCATTCTTATTCAAAGTAGAAAGTTCATAGAAAGGAAATGTTGTATTTCTCATGTAGAAATTTCATACGTTTACGTTCCATTAGATATAGAGAACAAATGTTCAGTAAAAATAAACTTTAAACACAATACAATAATGAGATTGTTTCCTCAGTTGTTCAATCTCTCAAGAATTCTTTAACGAACCTCATTGTCTCGAAAACATTATATTGAATGAATATATTTGTTTTAAGTAGAGTGAATTTACTTTTCACAAATTCCCTCTTACACTGTTTAAATAGAGATGTATGCCATTATCGAATATCAGTAAATAGTCAGTAAACAGCTATGATGTTTAAATGAAAGAGAGAAAGCACATTTGAACTATTTTCATTGAGTTGATTTATTTTGGCTACTTGTCAAGTATTTGTATAGAACATTATTGCGTTCTTTTCGAAGAATGTCTATTTACAAGATGAGTAATAAAATGATGAGGAACATTTGTAGAGAAGATAGTATACGTAATTAGTGTCGGGTTCTCTGTGCTGGTTGGTTTAGTATTGGAACACTAATGACCATTGCGAATAATATTGATCTCTTCATCAAATACAAGTGACTGGTTAACAATTCATGGGAAATCCTATTCCACCACTAATGTTTGGAATGCGCTTCTCTCCCTCTAAATGCAAGTTTTTGCGTCAGGACTGGTCTGCGTCAACACCTGAACTAAGGGTAGGGAGTGAAGTAGTCCAACTCGTTGACAACTTTACTTATCTTAGAAGTCTGATCAACCCTAATGGGTTGGTGTCTGACGAAATCTCCACGGATTCGAAAAGCTCGCTTGGCTTTTGCCAACTTACGTCACCTATAGCGAAGGCGAGATATCTGTCTTTCAATGAAAGGACGAGTATACTGCGCGGCAGTCCGTTCTGTTTTAATTTACGGCAGCAAAACATAGCCTTTAAGAGTAGAAAATACTCGTAAGTTACTAGTATTTGATCACAGATGCCTTAGAAATATTGCTGGCGTCTGTTGGGATCACCGGGTAAGTAATAGTGAGGTTAGACGCAGAGTATTAGGGAATGATGGTAAATCAGTTGATGAGGTTGTGAATCTTCATCGACTGAGATGGTTGGGCCACGTGTTACGTATGCCTGAACACCGATTACCACGACGTGCAATGCTGACCGGTGTTCAGGATGGTTGGAATAAAGTTAGGGTTGGCCAAACCTAAGTGTGGCATCAGTCCACAAAGTCACTAACTTCTAGTTTGAGCCATGTTGGTAGATGCAGACTACTTGGTTGGGGTCCGCGTGACTATCGTAACCAATGGTTGGAGACTCTTGGTGACATGGCTCAGAATCGATCACAATGGCATCGGTGTATACACTCTCTGTCTTCCCTTAAACCAAGAGATTAAAATCGCTTCATGCCTTTCTTTCTACGAACTAATTCTTCCTTCCTGTACCATATCCTTATTGCAATCTTTCTTTTATATATTACCACCTCTGAATTAACTACTTTTATGAATCCGGTGTCCATCTTGTGTTAATGAGGTATGGCAACTTGGACCGATGCATATATGTGCCTGGTCCTACGTTGTAGCTGACTGACTGATTAATGAAGAATGATGGCTGACCATATCTTTTACGTGATGATAATGATTCGCTAAAGTATTCGAGATCCATGTAACTGTCACAAAAGAAACTTCTCATCATTAATCGACTTGTCAAACAATTTGTCACGTTAATCAAAATTCAATCTCAGTCAGTACTCATTAAATTCCGTTGATATTACTTTATAATTGAAATACCAAGTACTAACCTATGCACTCTTTTTTTGAGCTAAACCGTTCTCATAATGCTACGTTAAATACGGACAGCACAAAACACTAAATCGGTCCCCATCAGAACACAATATTAAACAATGGTTATTACAGTAAAATTGAACAGTGGCTAGTGGTGTAGTACATGACGCTGTTAAACTATCAAAGCTTATATATCCAAACAGTCATTTTGTATACGGCATTAGTTACAATTTTTGGTTAATTGAATGTAGCTGTCTTTTATTCATGTTTGACGTTTAGTAATATTCTTATTGTATTTTGAACGAAAGCCTTTAACATTTTGTCTGGGACATTGCTATGCACGATCTAATGTACTCATAGGTATGACTTATCATAGAACATACATTTGAATCTTCCTCATTCATTTATTCGACCGAATCTGATTAGATATAAAAAGAAATTGGTGAATATTCGTATAGTGTTTTACTAGAGTGTTCAAAATCAGCCATTAATTTTGCATAAATGGATCCTTCATTCTTCAACGATTCCTTTAGATTATGTTGTTAATTCTTAATTTTAAAACAAAATATTATTTCTCGAAACATTTCAACAGCTATGTGTTAAATGGTTCAATTTATTGCAATCGGTTAATGAAACTTCAGGTAGTATTACGGTTCATATTGTACTGCAGCTAACCAAACTCATTTGAAATGTGCATACCTTAACTCAAATGACAAAACAATACACCAATTAGTGAATATATTTGTTTTCTGTTTCATTCTGACGTTTGGATATGTAATTTAACAAGATCATGTTTGCGAACAGTAATTATCAATTGATTAAAGTTGTCTCGGTCATCGTATAGTGAACGTGGTCGCCAGTAATCAGTTAGCACTGAGATGTAACTGAGTGTGAAGTGGTTAGTTTCGACTTATTCATTAGTACGTTTCATACATTGTCAGTTATTGATGGTAACCTGTAACACATAGTTAACACATCTCAAAACAAGACTGTGGTGGAAGAATTTTTGAATCTCCATGGAAAATTAATTTTCTTGGGAATTAAAACACACGTTCTGATATGTAAGTCTTTATGTGAATGAACCATCAAAACCCACTTACTACTATACAAGAAAAATAAATGCCATCAAAGAAGAATTATTCTCAACGAAGTCACCGAAATCTCTTCTTTGTATATCCGACGTAAACTTAGCTCATATGAAGAATAAAAATGACTTAAACGAAGTGTTTCATTCAGATAATGAAATGCTGAAAATTTATCACTGAATCTGTCTAAATGGCAACATTTCAAAATATAATACTTTATTAAATATAATCAAAAAATATTGAGGTGATCTTGTAATGAATGAGAACACAAGTGGGGGCAATCGAATGTATTTGAATAAAAAATTACAGAATCACTTAGTAAAATATAAGAATCATTTGCATTATGTCAATCAATTGTCTCGAACTTTATTAGTATCAGAAGGGGTTTTGTGAAGATTGCAGTAATTTCAATAGCTAAGATCATGGGTTAATTGAAGCTAGACCATAATGAAAAACCTGGAAGCACTGTACGGCCGTTTCGTCGTATTACGGGACTCCTCAGCAGTACGCATCCACGATCCCACCATGCGGGATTCCAATCCAGGACCTATCAGTCTCGCGCGCAAGCGCTTAATTTTTAGACCACTGAGACGGCTGGCATCCAACGGTATTAATGTCTAACTTCAAGTAGTGCACGAAATCGAACAACACATCCACCATTGTCTTCAGTGAGTTACTATCTCACAACTAACCCGGTTGAACTCCACTGATCATTGCTTCTCACTAGAACTCCAGGATATATCTCTGGAAACCAGTCACTAGGGAGCATATGTTGATTCGTATGAGAACTATATTCTGTAGAGATTGTAGTCAATTTATTAGTTCAGATCATGAGTCAATTGAAGCTAAACCACCATGGAAAACCTGGAAGCAATTCCAGGTTTGAAATCAGACTTTATTGTTCCTTCGTTTCTACACCAATCATTCACTGTTCTTGTTCTCTTCTTTTCGATCTTTCTTTTAATCTTCTACCACGAAGTATTTCACTTTTAATTAATGATACATACTACTTATATCTGTTGATATCAATAACATACATCACAATCTAATGAAATAAATTCATTAGGTTTTAATATAAATCATGTTATATCGTTGTATTGAAGAGTTAAATTTTATTCATTTCTTTTATATATATATACTTATCATTCTGATTAACAAGATCATTTGACTAAGATGAAAAATAATATCGATTTCTTTTTGTTATTAATTAACTTAATTCTTATTTAAATTTTTATTTGACTCTAGTTAACAACCCACATTCAGATAAAAATAATCCATTCAATGAAAGCAAAGATTCTTGTTAAGTGTATTAACAACAAAGAAATTAATTCCAGTTCCATTAGTGTATTCCAAAAAGCAGAATGTTAAAATTATCTCATTGATTGAATTATCTTATAAATACAACAATAATAAAACTCAAGTTAAATATGAGGAAATCAAATCTATATTTAAATGAATCTTCTCAAGATCAAATATTTAAAACAATAAAGAAATAACTAAAACTTATATCATTCATTATAAATATACAATATGGATAAATTATACTTAACTACAATTGATGTTGGACAATCTAATAAAGAATATCAAATTAAAACTGTCAATAGAATAGATAATAATCAATTAAATTTAATAACTATGAATGAAATAAATCAATATCATTCAATGATATTTAATCCATATATACAATCAATCAATAAAGTAACCATATTGAATTTACAATACCCTAAAATACAAATACAGAAACGATTATTAAATATTTTACAAAATTTATTATTAATTTTCACCTTTTTACAATTTTGTATCATTATTTATTTAATTAATCAATATGATATATATTTAAGATTAAGATCACCATTAAATGATTTACCAAATTATACAGCTACACGAATACCATGGATACCTGAACAATATAAATTAAAAAATCAAATGAATATAATTTGGTGGTCAATTTTTATGATTTATATGCCATTAATGATAATATTTTGTAAATATTACTTAGAGTTTAATGAAAATGAGTAAGTAGTACTTTTCTTTTTTATCAACTTTTTATTGTATAAGTGGTGAGATTATAATTTATGAATGAACCAATCAAATATAAGATAAAAGATCTTGGATTTTGATGTGAAATTCACTCATCCATTTGGTTAAATAGAGTTTTACGATTATAGCTGATGATGAAAACCATAAATGTAATTCCAAACCTTAATCATCAACTGTAAATCATAATTCGAATTCCTCACACTGGTTTATAACCTTCATTTGGTCCTAGTTATTAGGTAAACACTCGCAAGGTCAATTGAGTGTCACTCAAAGGTTGTCCATAAATTCTAGTCTAACCGTATAAGAATATCAACCACAAAAAAAATTCTGTGAAATGGACAGTGAACATATTTGATAGTGATAATTTTTTGATTGAGATCATGAACCGGTTGATATTAGACCACCATTGAAAACCTGGAAGCACTGGATGGCCGTTTCATCCTATTGTGGGACTCCTGAGCAGTGAGCATCCACAGTCCCGCTCGCGGGATCTGGACCCAGGGCCTTCAGTCTTGCGCGCGAACGCCTAACCTACTGGACAACTGAGTCGGCATCCAATGGTGTTAATGTCTAACCTCAACCAATGGTGATCTTACATCAATCGGTTCATGATATCAATCAAAAACTTAACAATCTCCACAACCCCTAAACTGATAGTGATAATTGTTAGATGCAAAATAAATATTCCCTTAAATTGTTTTTTTATTTATTCTCCAGTGTATTTGAATTATTATTTTTAATGAAATATTATTCAAGACTTATGATTTCCAATGAGAAATTGAAATTATTATCACAATAAACGATAGATATGTATGGGATTCTTTTATTTATTTACTCAGTCAATAGTCACTCTAAAAACATGACAGTGTTCTTGATCCACGTGTACTTGGATTTTTTCTAAGAATATAATTTGTTAAGATTTATTGCAAGACATTTTAGTGTTCAATGGTAATACGAACAACAAAATCCAAAGCACATAGTGTGGTATGTGCTACTGATGTCAACAGATATAAGTCGTATGTATCATCGACTGAAGGTGAAATGCCTGGCGGAAGAAGACTGAGATCGAAGAGAAAATGATGAGATTAGGGAAACGAAAGAACAATGAAGTATTAGACGATTGATTGATATTTTGCAAATGAAGTATTTACTATATGGTTCTCAAATTTTACTAAGAGAATCTGTAATTTTGTATTCGAATGTATTTGGTTGTCCCTATTTGCGTTCTCGTTCACTACAACAGTACATTAAGACGGTCTGAACGTTTTCACAAGGAATATAAGAGTTAATGAAATATTTACGCATTAAAATAGTTTTCTATTTGGGAAGTATTGTATATGTTTTGTTCCATTTATTCACTTTGTGTTTGAAATAATTGAGATTGGTTAGAGATATTTTTCAGTAAATAGCAGTTTTGTCTATTTGCAAAATAGGACTTTTTAATTAAGTTGTATTAACTCTTAATATATGGTTAGCTCGAAGCATTATTTGTTTTCACAAAATAATGACTTATTAGATCTATTAAATAACGGTTCATGTGCATTGGTAGGATAGGGGACTAGCAGTAGAATACATGACGCAGGTTTTGTCCTTTTTAGGACTCACTACCAAGATGTACCTGTTCAGGAGTGAACATCAACGCTAGTATGCAAATGAATCTAGCCGACAAATCCCAGATAGAACGGAACACGTGTCCCGGATTCCACTGTTAACGACTTTCCACTCTTTCTTAGAATGCTTGTGAATTAAAGCAATATCGAGGCAATCCACACAGAATGCACATATGCCAATAAGAGACTGGTCAACTGTAGTCCTAAACATCAATGTGAAGAATCGAGTAAACAACACCAAGTGAATCTAAACTTCACCCCATTACACAAGCAGGTTGGCGATCACGATTCAGCGATCACAACAAACCGATGGTGTTTGAAGGAGACGGTACTGGGTTCGATTCTCAGAGTGAAAGCAAACCCCGGGATCCAGGCACACCCAGCTGATGGACCCCAAACGGAACGGAACGCGTGTCCGGGATTTCACTGCTAGCCACCATCTATCTTTGTCTCAAATTCTCAACATTGAGCTAGAACTTTTCCATGGGTAGCATTAGTACCTTTAATACTTCATATTCCCTTGATGACGCAATTATTTCAATCCATTGACCAAACGATCTTCTCTATGTCAAGTGGACAAATCATTTAGTCAAAATGTGATATTATGTAATTTTACCAATAGCGTCCTATGATCTCATATTGATTAGAATGTAGACAATTCTTTCACGCACAAATTTCAAATAATAATGTAAATTCATGTGTAAATCTCCAATCGTTCGCTTCAAATGAATTCCGAGTCTTAGCAGGCATACATTGAGATAAAAACCTTTTTGTGGTTAACTTCTGGAGTTAGGTTATTTATCTAGTTGTACATAAAAAGTTATCTAGAACATAAAATGCATAGACTAATCTCATTGTTTTACATTGGAAAACTTAAGTTCAAAAGATAAAACCTGAGTAAGGTTAGAAATTATTTTCTTTTATTAAAAAAACCATTATTTGAATCTTAACAAAAGTATATAAGTGCTAATTGAAAAACTGATTATTGTAAGTTCAATCGGTGGACAAAATCGATCTGTAAGCGTGATCTCATTGTTAATAAAATGAATTTACAAGCACCATATGGCTACGGTGATAACAGCACCATAATTGTTGCGATTCGTAAAACTACATTAATATATCATGTTATTATGCTCATATAACTAATCGAGTCTCATGAGTTGTCCTACTCATGTACACATTGGCACTTTATTCTTAATTCTTTCGAATCAAATGCCTCTAATTGAATTTTATGATGTAAATGGGATAAATACGAAACTTCTAAAGGAGATGCATCTGACGCATGAAACAGACACTTCGTTAAAGCCAAAGGCACTATTCGTTTCCAAATAATGATATTCATGAATACAATGACATTAATTTTGGATGTTCTAATAAGTTTTAGTAAAGTTGATTTACGAAACTAAAGTAAATACTTGGTTATTAATAAGAGGAATGTTGTTCAAAAAGGTTGTACATTCTGGTTCAGTATCATTGATCATAACAACTGATTGTTAACAACCATCATTTACAAATGGATCTGTAGTCAGTGACTCATCTTTAAAATTATGTGCTATGATAACGATCTATTATGATTTATTTTTTGCAAGGTCTAATTATTGTCCTTAGTAAGAAAGCTTCACCAGTAACCTTAAAGTATATCATTTCAAAGGTTTGTTTATAGACTTCTTCAGTGTTAGTTCCTAACACCGAATATCGTTAAATAGGGTTGAGGTCAACCACCACTTCGCAGAGAGCACTATACATCTCTCTTTAACTGAAACCTTTATTGATAAAAACTAACTCTACATTTAACATTCTTCATAATTCAAACATGTTAGAATATGAAGTATCAGTTACTATGTTAATCCCATATACCTTATTCTAGCTTTCGGACATTCCATTCTATTCATTCTACTTGACCCATACTTTGACCTTGTTATTTATTCGCTTATCAATCTAGATTGTTTTTATATGAGCGTATACGTGTGTGCCCTTCTTATTCCAATTAATCACATGCCTGCAGCTTTATTTTGTCTGACTATAAATATTGAGTAACGCTTGACTAAAATGGAATTGGCTTCCCAGCCATCTTTCCCGCGTGTCATTTTGCTCTGCTCTATTTCATTCGCTTCATATACAAAATATATGTATTCTCAAGTCAATTCTCGTTATTCGACTTATTTAATTCTGTTATTGGATAACGTGATTTAAGTCGACGATTATATACGAGAATAGGCGATAACAAACATTCGTACGCTCTAAATGGAGTCGAGAACTACGGGTCACAAAAAATACGGCATTCACTTATTGTATGTTTTATTCATTTAATAAAGTGTTAACCTTTAGAAACTGCTTTAAACATGTAATACTCACTTTTAATATCGCTTAATGTACACTTTTTTTTCTAGACTTAACAAAGAAAAGGATAAATGGATAATGAAAGGAGATATACGAGAATCCCAGTCAGAACAATCTTATAAGAAGATAGTATGTGGTAAAAAATTTCGTCAACTCATACCAGTCTGTTGTTTTACGACAAGTACATTTTTATGGTTATTCTATCTCATAGGTTTTTATAGTAAGTTAATAAACATTAGTATCAGTAGGGGTTTTGTGGAGATTGTAGTAATTTCAATAGTTCAGATCATGAGTCAATTGAAGCTAGACCACCATGGAAAACTTGGAAACACTGGACGGCTGTTTCGTCTTATTGTGGGACTCCACAGCAGTTGACTCATGACCTCAACTAATAGACATTAATTATTCCATAATTTACTATTAGCAAGTAATTATATTAATAGTATTGATTTGTACATTAAATTATCAATGACAAATGAAGAACAAAGATGGGATGTTACCTAATCAATTACACATAGATGTAGTCAGAAAAACAACAAAAACAAAACAAAAGATTAAGAATGATTTCCTATTGTGTATTAACATAACTTAGGTTTGTATGGAATAATGGAGGCAATAGATGAACATCGCTGAATTAAACCTTTTTAAGAGAATATATCCTTTGGAATCAATCTCTACAGTCACTTATTGATTGTTAATTTAGATTAATTGAGCATTTAAGAATAAGTTCTAAGGTTGTCTGTAAATACAGAAGATTTGTAATTTAAATTTACCACATAATGAAAATATTGATCGAGTTTACATAACGATAGACCCTACAAGACATAAAATAAGCTACATTAAGTAAGCCTTACTGATTATTTTTATGAATTGCTTGAAGTTAGACATTAACATCATTGGATGACAGCTCAGTGTTCTAAGCAACTGCGCGCGAAACGGATATGTCCTAGGTTTGAGTCATGCGGATGGGATCGTGGATGCGTACTTTTGGGGAGTACTATACTATAACCAAACGACCGTTCAATGCTTTCAAGTTTTTTATATTGGTCTAACTGTAATTGACTCATGATATCAAATTCTATCTATAACTAAAAAGTTCATTTTCTAATAGATTCACTATTAAAATGTATAAGAATTCTAGAATCATTAAATTTTAACTTTTTGATTTAATTGATGAATAATTTCCTATGTATCTTTCTTTTACAAGACTGTTTATATTTTATCCATTACAATTATTGGCGCAAAGTTATACATAATTGGCTTTATCAATTACATAGTTTCTATTTATTAAATTTAAATGAATCATCTAATGAAATCTCACAAATATCATCACTAAAAACGCATCATCTACTAGATGATGGTGAAAATTCATTTTTGATCATTGATATTATTCAAAATATGTTTGAATGTTGTGGAATTGATAAAGGCTATATGGATTGGATATCTAATCATATGAAAAGACCATATTTACATACTTATCAAAATTTGATGAGGTAAGATTGATAAGTTTATAAACTTTTTAATTAAGTAACTATTAACTAATCATTTTACTTTAAGCACATAAGTCAGATCAATCGAATGAGAAATGGAACTTTTTCATTAGTATCTTTAAAATAACAAAAAAAAATAACCTTAACGATAATTGGTAACTTACGTTACAATCGATCACAGTGACATGGAAAATTTATATTATTATTATTATTATTACTATTATTAATGACTTTATTCAATATAGAATTCTCAGCACAAGGTATTTCAACAAGTTGCTTTTACAAAGAAAAAACAAAAAGAAGAAAAGAAAAAGGTAGAAAAAATGTGAAAAACTACACAACTCTCCGAATTACAGACATGTTATGGGTGCAGGTTATTGACCGGGTTAACTTTAACACCTTGTTCGTCACAGAGTTTATTTGCTAGGTAAGGTATTATAGAACTATTATACTTTTGCTTGCATGCATGGGATTTAATGTAATTACGTCTCATTCTACCAAAAGATATACAAGGAGAAAAATATGAGTGAAGGGGATGGTTAGTATCTGATAAAATGACACCTGCCAGGAGTTTGCATGGCTTTAGATGTCTATCCACAACCATATTAATTATGACCTCGAAAGACTCACAACACACCTTGTTAACTGCTTCCAGCACTCTCCGTGATACAGCAAAGTCTTTTCTCAAAAACCCGAGAAAGTATAATGGAAAACAGTAAGGAATAATAGGTAATATACAAGAATTGACAAATTGTAAGAGTAAATGACGAGTAATCTCAAGAGCACACAATCTCGTTATGTAGTAAGTCAGACGGAAAACTTTCTTTGATAACAGTAAAACGTGAAAAAAGCAAGAGAGATCAAAGGAAAAAGTAACACCAAGATAATTGACATTCGACACTGTTTGTCAAAGAGCCAGTGTCATGTTTTGTATTATATTAATAGATTACTAAAACTTTCTTTTTCTGAATTGTCATGAAATATGGTAAATTAAACCTACATACTGTGTTCCATTTACTAACTAGTTAGATTTAGTCTTTAGTTTTATGTTAGATATTAATATTTCAAATGTCAGTCATTCACTCTTTCTTAAATCTACATATACTCAATATATTTAAGGCTTTTAATTGTGTTTAATTATGAATAAAAGTATAGTAATACGGACAAGCCTTAAAAAAGAACAATAACAAATTTTCAGCTCATTTCTAGCCCACCGGAAAATAGCTTTTATTAATGGATAGTTTACAGAAAAAGCAATAAACTTGAAAAGTAGAAGCAGATTTTATACTACCTTAACAGATTATTCTGGTTGTAAATCGAAACACCTATGAAATATAAACTTATTCTAATGGACGAAAATATTCTTTCTTCGAGAATTCTTTAAAGGGCTTAAACAGATTTCATAGAGTCTCTACCTTGTCCTTGGTTAGAGTTAGGTATTTAGGGTTAAGATTGATAATTTATGGTCAGGGGTAATCATCCATAAATGAGTTTAGTTATAATGTAAAAATGGCCATATGAATGACTTTTGCACAAAAATATTAGAGGAGCTATCTGATTATTCCATTCATTAAATAAAACCCTAATAGGCTAAGGCTTGTTTCAGAATTAAGTGATTTTTTATTAAAACTTAGAGATAGTGTCAATCTAGCTATTATATATAGTTGAGTTTTTATTAAGATTACGAACCGAATAATTTTACATCAAGATTGGAAACTTGGCAACACTGGACAGGCGCTTCGTCCTAGTATGAGACTACTCAAGAGTGTGTATCCACAACGTCATACGTGGGATTCGAACCCAGGAACTTCGATCTTGCGCGAACTCTTAACCTCTAGACCACTGGACCGGCATCCAACGGTGTTAATGTCTGATTTCAATCAATCTACGGTATTGCGCTACAATCTTCGATTGTCTTCGGTAGGTAACTACCTCACACTTAACACTGTTGAAATCCACTGTTCACGACTACTCACTGGAACTCCAAGGACTACTCCTCGAAGTTATTCACTAGTGAGTACACAATCTCAATGAAAACTCAACAATCTCCACAACGTTATACGGATATAAGTTTGATACGTTTAGTACTATCATTTCCACTCTATTGTTGGAAAAAACCATTTTTCCCTGTTATGTTAAATGTTTTAACAATATACAAAAGTATTTTTACTGTTTATTTAACATGTTTAAATTTCACGGAAAAGCCTAAGAGTTATATACTCTATTTCCATTCGATCATCCCTATACTACACTTACACATGATATTGTTTCTTCACTTCAAACATTTTTCAATTACTATCAAACAGTTTATGGGGCAGTTACTAAAATTAAAACAAATTACTTTTCATACATATTTTTTCAAAAGTTACCAAGTGAAATATTAAAACACTAATCATATACTTTCGTTAGATTTGAACGGATACCCAATAGTATGAGTAATGTGAGTATAAAAATATTTCCCCTAGATTGTGTTTGTATTGTGAAAGTTCGGATCATATTTCGCATTACAAATAAATTAAGTTGAATATGTTTAATTGATATTTGGTGGTACAAATGATATCCAAGGATTATTGTTCATAGGCACTCGCTTACTTACTTAAGCCTGTTACCCCTCGTGGAGGAGCATAGGTCTTCAACCAGCATTCTCCATCAAACTTTGTATTGGACAATCCTTTACAATTGTTTCCAGTTGCTATTCATTCTTTTCTGGCTTTCCATGGTGGTCTAGCTTCAATTGACTCATGATCTGAACTATTGAAATTACTAAAATCTCCACAAAACCCTTTCTGACACGTTAAACTACTTTCACTATTGTTTTATTAATCATTTGATTTTTAAAGTCAAAAGAAATTCAATGTTCTTTTTTCAATTTTTCTTTATTAGAAATGTAAATGATTCCCATGAAGCAAATTATCCCATTGAAATAATAACGAATACTAGTGTACCATTTAGTTGTTATAAAAGAATCAAATATAATTTAGGCAGAAACAATATACTATTACTAATAGTAATAATATTAGTTTAGTTAGCGATAATGAAGTATTTCATAATAAAGGATGCTTTGAACCAATTTTATACTTTCTTACATCGAAATGGATGAAATTACAAATGTTATGCCTGCTAATAATTATACTCACAATGGTAAGTTATTACATTACAACTTTATGAAGTGAATATTTTTGAAACTATGATATATCATGTTTACAATTGCGATAATAATAACAATAATGATAATAATAGTGATTATGGTAACAACAATGGAAATGAGACTAATAAAGACAATTGAAGAGGTTCAGTTCATTAATTGTCTAAAAATTAGAAAACCCACCTTTACTTTCACAATGTTTCAGAGTTCTTTAGTATATACTAGTGAATGATTTCACAGCATTAGGTATAAACTTTCTTTTCCTGAGTAATGTTGCTTATAGCTATTTCATTTAGTAATCTTGATAACTGTTATATCTATAAGAGGTAATTTTTGAAACAGGAAACACTCTCCTGCTATGTAAAACTCAAAGAAAAAGATAAAATCAATAATGGAAGAAATATGTCAACTATTTTAACCAATTACACTCATTTATGTGTCGATTTTGTTGATGCTTGGTTATCAGTTAACAATCAGATACAGAGGAAATGAAAAAGTAGATAATACGCAGAATCAATTATACAAAACGCATATTAGATGCTACTTTAACTTATACAATTGCATGTTCATATTTGATAACATAGAACAATTAAATGCTACCTGATAATCAATTTTGTAATGACAGTCAGTTGAAATGAACATTCCTAAATATTCAAATACATACCAACTAGAATCTGAAGATCTAAGCCCTAATCTGTTTAAGTTTTAAATACTATGTTATTTTGTTATCAAACTTTCTACTACATTTAAAATGATGGGCTTAAATGTTATGAACATGATTGATAAACATTCGAGATTTAAAACATTCAACTTTGAACACTGTAAACCTTCGATATACAAAACGGGAGACTTTCAATCCTAGACATTAATCAAATTATATGCATCGTAATGTACCAAATATTCACTGAATAATAATCAATATTGTATTTTCTATTTCTTGGTTCCAGTTGCAGTCCGTAGATTAAGTTCCGATTCGCTCACTACATGAAGTTACATCGAGATACACTTTGAAATTAGGTGGTTAAATACAATCAAGTAAAATTTCCTGTATTTAGATTACATTTATCTGCATGGTATATTGTAATTTTGGTTGAACTGACGACCCCTAATCACCTAGTCTTTCAATCAATAATGTTACTATTAAGGTTTAAATGTTAAAAAACTACTCCCCTTAACAACTTGAAGATTTAAACCTTTCTACCAGTTGCCACAAGACATATGACATACACTATCCTTGTTGTATACAGCTGATAAGAAATCGCAAACATATAATGAATTCATATTATTCTACAGCATTTGTTGTTTCAACTTTATTTAAATCCTTGTTAAAGTCAGATTTTTGATTGGTAATATTCATTCGAAGTAGATCAAACATTGATAACCACTTACAGAGATGCTATTACCTTAATGATTATTTAAGTAACTTATTATAGATATTCATTCAATTTCATCCATATAAAGTATAGATTGAATCATTAAAATACATTCAAGATTTTTTTCTTTAGCTAATTTTAACACGAGTGTATAAGTAGTATTCAACTTTTTATTTTTAAGATTCCTCAAATAATCGTGATGTTGGCAAATATTCAAATGGAAGAATTATGGAAAGAATTAAAAACACTAGTGAATACAATTATAAACATTACAAAGAATGGAATAGTGAAATTTATAGAAATAACGAAAACTGGAATATCTCGATTAAAAAGATTTTTTCTCGTACATATTGTAGGTTTAAGTTGGGTTTTAACACTATGATATATATTCATTTCATAAAGTTGTTTACTAATAATCTGGTTTATTTACAGTTTTTAACCTTTATTCAAACTAAGCAAAGATGGATAGTGGGTAGCAGTAGAATCCAGAACCCGCGTTTCGTCCTATTTGGGATTCGTCAGCTGGATGTAATTGTATCCCGGATTTGATGTGTCCTCTAAGACTCGAACTCAGTACTGTTCGCTTCAAACACCACTGCGTTATTTACTTAACTACTGAGTCCTGATAGTCACTAGCTTATGAAATGGGGTGAAGTGTAAATTCATTTTGGATTGCTTTTTGTGAATCTTCCTATTAATTTTTAGAGCTGCTACTGATCAGTCTCTTATTGGTATATGTGCATTCTGGTTATTTCTACGACAATATGTTCACTTAATCTAAAGTATAAACTAATTAAATTTCACTTTCAGTTCATTTTTAGAGTTCCTAAAAACCAACAGTTGCTGAATTGAATATTGTGTGCGTGATAGAAGAAATAATATAATACAATGAATACTTAATTGAATACTTAATCGTGTTGAAAAGTTTTCATTTTTCCATACAACAGTGACTTAAAATCATTTTTGTTCACTTGTAGCTCATCTTTCTGATCACTGTCCTGATCTATGACTTTCTTCATAGTGTTTACATTACTTTAGTACTGTGTACTAGATAACTTTGTCTTACTTTTCTTAATGCAGTTCAAAATGGTAATTTTGATTTCTTTTTATAAATTTCATGTGCTAGTTTCAGTTAAGATAAGAGTGAAAACCAGGTAGCATTAGATAGTGGTTTCGTCTCAGTATGGGGCTCTTCGACAGTTCACACCAACAATTCCGCTAGAGATCACACTCAGTACTTCCATATCTTACAGTATGGACTTAATCATTAAAAAATACCAGGTTAATGATCAGTTTTCAGCTTCAAGCTATGACTAATATCATTTATGAATTTAAACAATCTTTACAAACTCCATTGCCGAAAATGATACAAAATTATTTTCCCTAAAAGTTATCTGCTTATTTTACCTATATAAAATTAGTTGTTATAATTAGAAGCCATGATTAGTCATTTTTAACTGTTGAAATTGGGATATAACTTACTGATGTTATCAAATGAAAGTCAGGCAATATTTAAAAATGACTCCGTTTAACGCAGAAATCTTACTTCCAGTATCACAAAAGCTCATAACTTCGTTCTACTCATTAACTAGAAATAAACCGTTGTTCAGTACTTCCTTGATTTCTATTGATTCACCAGTTAATGTTAGTTATTTTTTTAAACCTATCTTCTGAGTTCAGCTTTCAAAAACCTAGTGTAGAATGTACTTGTCTAACTACAAATAATTTCGTTCATGACAGTTTTTGGCATTTTTGATATTTTATGATAACTGAATATAAATGTTTCCAATTGTGCACTACAATTTTCTAACTTTTCGTAAATAATCAGTAGTATTGTGATGTGTGCTACTTAGATTATTTACAATAAATTAACTCTTCAAAACACTCAGTGCATATAAATACTTCCCCCCTCTAACATAATATTTACTATTTTTCACTTACCATTCATAGTTTAACATAAAAAATTATGAAGGATACTTTGAAAAATTATTAGAATCAGATGAAACATTTTACTGCAAACAATTAACTAGACATGAATTAGGTGCTTTTAATCAAGAAATAAAACTCATTGAAACTACACTTCAAAAATCTACATCGATATTAGACCAAAATTCTAATCAAGAACAACAACAACAGAGTCAACAAATCAAACGATCAACTAGACCAGGACAAAAACGAAATTATTACCAGCTAACAAATCAACAACAAGAACAACAACAACAGCAACAAAAACACCGGCAGTACTCAGTGAAATATGCTTCACATGAAAAGTCTATTATATTTACAAATTTAAATAGAATTCCTGTAAATAAATTACATAAATCATATGTACATATTAGATCTAATGGAAAATTAGATAAAGTCAATTCACATTTAAATGAACGACCAATATGGAAATATACTTATAAAGTATAATAATAAAAGCTTTGCATGGGAATTTATAATTCCTACAAATTATCAATGACAATATTGAAAATGATATCTCTAGAAGAGATATAATTAACACTAATAAATAACAATGCTATCATTCTATTTTGAATTGAATAAAAGTAAAATATTTGTGTAAAATGTGTTCCACATTCAATTCAGTGAATATTACAATTATCTTTTCTGAGTTTTCTTATGTTCTCAAAAATATGAAGAGCTTATTGATAATAAGAAACATTGAAAACCATAAGTGAGAATGGGGGCTAGCAATGGAATCCAGGACGCACGTTTCGTCCTATTTGGGAATCATCAGCTGGATATACCTGCAAGCAAAACGATAGCAAGTGAATTTAAATTCACCCCATTGCATAAGCAAGTTGCTATCAGGACTCAGCAGCTAAGTGGGTAACGCGATGGTGTTTGAAGCGAATGGTACTGGGTTCGAGTCTCAGAGTGAGCATCAACTCTGAGATGCAGGTACATCCAGCTGTGTATAAAAAAAAATGAGATAACTATATACATTATTAAGAAGAATACAATTTTCTTATACATGTTAGTAATATATTTGTTAGTAATATACTTGCTATCAAGTTCAATTAAAGTAATAAGTAAGACTACCAAGTACAAATGAGTGTAAGCGACAGAAATGTCAAATAAAGCACACAATTACTAGTGAGCAAATATTAGAATATAAATGACTTAAAGTCCATAATGATTGTATGAAGATGAATGAAAACTTATCGTTAGTTTTAAACACAAAATATTAATTTTAGTTTTCTAATTGAAAAATGAGTGAATTGTGTACAGCTTAATTTTGTAAATAGAAGAAAGCATCTGTTTGAGTGTTTTAAGCCAATAAATCCTTCCATCAGATCTCGTTGTCTCATTATTAAGTGAAAACTGTCAAGAATTCTTCAAGTGAAAATAGTCTAGTCGGGAACTGTCACTAGGTGATTCCAATTACTTTCTCATACTGTTACTTTGAACAAATACACGAGTGCACTTGTGCAGTATTTTTTCGAATGAATATGTACTTTGTACACAACTGCACTCTCTATTCGTAGTTCTGCTACAGGACAATCGTGATAGGATACATACTCGTGAGCTAGCATCACATTCGACTCTGAATGTACAACATCTGTGTAGTACCAAGCAGTTTTTTGTTCATTAAACGAGTGAATATTGCATATAAGAGCACAATTTTTACCAGGAATCTTATTTCAAGCTCTAACTTTAACCTCATTTTCTCTTTTCATCCGGCAAGTTCGATACAGCACAATGACGTGTTCACAGAAGACCTAGGGAGACAGTTTGGATGGTTAAAATGAGGACCTCAGTAAAAACTACATATTTGTGTACTGGACTGACACATTAAATGAACGGAAGAATTTTTGATGACAGACATTGAACTTTTATCGAACACTGGAAAAGGATGGTTATCCTCACACGGACATTCACGTGCATCCAACAGGTGACGGCCCATTTGTGTGTTTTGAGTAAAACCAGGAACTTCATCTCAAACAGTGAGTTCAATATTACCATTGGATAAGCTTACTCGCTATGAAACTCTGTTACTGCCTCTCCAGCTCAGTTGGTCTCAAATCCTTCATATATTGATTTACTTGACGCAGCCTTTCATGTGTATCAACCTAGATCTAATCAGATGAAAGTAATCACTTGACAAACTTGGAGATGTCAACAATCTGAATAATTACCTGTGGTATTTGTACGAATTAGTGATTTCCTTTAACTTGATTGCCCGTAGATTACGAATTTAAAATATCCATTTGTGTTCATATAGTTCTACCTGCCTCAGATTGCACTATTTCGGGAATTTTTATTTAGCATACTAATTCGAATACTTCTAATTGCCATAGTACCACAGTTATCAGTTACTTATCCGAGTGTTTTGTATTTCAAACATGACTGTTATTATCTTTACATGCCTTAATATTGATAATAAAATGCAGTCTCTTGAATCGGAGTTAAATTCACATACCATCTCCCTGAAACAAGATTTTGAACAATATTCAGTACTAGATTGAACTTGAGGAATTATGTTGTCTACCAAAACAAAAAGCTCCTAGACAATGGACCCTTGCCTATTGTCGTTGTAGCAGGGATTTATATCACCATATCCAATGTCTAAAAATACTTTATCTGTCTTTTAAGCTTCAACGTCTTCCAGTGAGATAGATCTTGCCCATTTTGTGTATTGACCAAATAATTTTAAACGTTGAGTAACGTTACTTGCTAAAGGTGATGGTCTGACTGCGTGGACGTGAATTTTGTCTGACTTACAACAGATATTATGAATGTGTTTAGGAAAAAAGTGTGAGATCGAAATTATGACTTACAACAACTGTTTATTGACTGTTGTCGAAGGTAGCGTTCTTGGCCAAAAACGTACTTTGATAGGAGACGTTGAAAACATTTATGATCTCCTCCAAAACATTTCATCAACCTCCCTATCACCTTGATGTTATTTCTTTGTTTTTGAGTAACCCATATCAACTGATACAAGAAAATCTGTAGTGACTCACTTCTATCACGAGAACACGACTGGTTTAATAAAAACAATTATTATTATAACCAACTGTACCAGTGTTTGTTTTAATGTGCTTTTGTTTAACTGTGCTAATTGTAGCCATTTTGTGCTTCCATTACCTTCTATTATTGTTTCGCGGTTTTTGGTACTGTTCGCATGTACTCCTTTCTCCTGCTTCCACTTGTACCATTCCTTCGCACGATCTTGTTATTCGTTCGATACCACGAGATCGCCAACGAAATAAACCTGGTTACGTTCGACCTTCGCCTTCTGATTTACTTGGCACGTGTTTCTTGGTAGCGGTGTTCATAGTCAATCTCGACTCGACACCACGCTACAAATCCATGTTATGTTTTGACAGTGCATTTGCAGTGTAATTTTAACTTCTAATACTTGTATATCAATAGCATTTGAATAATTTCACAGTGGTCAGGTACCGTGAGTTGGTTTGTGTTGATGAGTTGTTCTGCATGAAGACTTATGATCAGTGTATGTGGTAAATGCTGTTCACTTCAGCATGTGCTGAAAGTAATGTTTGATCAAGTTCCTTTCCACGTGCATGAATATTTGACAAATGAACGTTGAGAGTAAATGGTTTCATACTTTTGCTTGTTTACAGACATCTCGTATTTTCTTGATAAACTAGTGTACATCAATTCATTTTTATGTTACCGTACGGTTCCTGGTCTTTGGTATTGTCCAGTGTGGATAATCTAGTCACTTGCAGTAATTCTTGTGAATTTGACAGTGGTGGTGTATTTTTTTCCGGGTATAAATAAACGAAATTAATCTGGTGTAGTGTGGTTGCTACAACTGATAGCAATCTCGTTACCTGAAGTCCAACTGTATGGACTTGACATGAAAGAAATTAGAATTTGAACAGAAAGGAGTGGAAGAAAGATAGAAGGCCAAAACAGATAAAAGAGTGAACTTTTTAAATGATTGAACAGATGGGAGAATAAACAGACAAATAACTATATTAATAGTAGATGAATGGTACCGCTTAGGCATAAGCTGACATAGGGCCTTACCAATAATAGTAATAACGATAATAATAATAACAGTGGATAAATAATGGATAAAATGGAAGCATGGTAATAGGTGAAAAGCGTATAAGTCGGTTGATATGTAAACAATGAAGAATTGAGCCTAAAAATACGCTTCTGCAAATTATCCTTAAATTTATAAGATCAAGAAAATCAATGGTTTCACAAACGTTGGACCATATTATCAGTTATCAACAAACACAACATCTTTCCAAATAGCATATTACAGAAGTGCAGTGATAAGATTTGGCTACAGAGCTTTAATCAGAGTGAACTGTATTGGGCAGTATGTTATCCACCATTATTAGCCCTTCATTTATTGTCACAGGAGAACTGAAAATATTTGACCGATTACGAAATGTCATATTGAATAGTAATAATTTCGCTATATTGAATGCAGTTGTTTACTGAACTTTTGAATTTGTTTCTTTATATCGCCGACCTCATATAGTTTGGCCTCATTTTGATTTTGGATTGGCATCTAAATTTTTTGCTCCAGTAACCTAAACACTGAGGTTTAGCTTTTTAGTTGTTGTAATTAATATTCGAACGATATAGTTGGGTTGATTTCTTACAATTTGCGAATAAACTTTGGTGCCTGAATTGAAATTTAATCCTGTTGTTATTTGGAGGTCGTGAGTTACAAATGGGTCAATCAACCGTGATTCAACAACGGACAAGAGCGAAAATTGTACATGACACTTATTATCGCGTAGAAAGTGTGAACAATCTCAGGTTTGTAGGTTTTTCCGTCAAACCCATGAAACATTCTGTCAAACGCCACTTTATCTCTTCCAGGAGATTCACACCCGTTTTTTTGAAAGGAGGTACAACTATGCCCAGAGTTTCGAACTGTGGGCGGATGCATTTATTGAGCGATGTCAAAAGAGGCCTAGAAATGAGTACACTCAGTCGACTTTGAACGAACTAAAAAGCAGAGAGAGCTTCGGCACACCTCCTTGTTAGCTGCTACCAGTATCCACATTTTCTGCTCTGTTGTAGTTTTAGAGGAACTATGTCCATAAAAGAAGTAGATTTTTCATATTTTCGCATTTTTTATTCTTCTAAACTGCAAGATGATTTCTTTAGTTTGTCAGTTTTAGCGGTAAATAAATCCCCAAAATAAATGGCTCTGTAAGTTTTCAACATTGGATGTTGACCACATTAGTTTTAATGGACTCACCTAGCTGAAGGCGCTCGGTCATGCATCCGCACCAGATCACGAGTAGGAACGCCGTGCTCTACAACCTTTGCAATCGCTAGCCAGATTAGATCAGACGATCCGCGATATATTGATAGCCTATCAAATATATCTTCGAACCTCCTTGCTTCTGTCTTTTGATTTCACTTGGCGGGTACGCTTCATATTAGAAGGTTTTACTGATTAAAGCGTTGTCAAACTCCGAATGCCTGTGGCATCTTCACAGTCTTAATCCATTACACTACATGTTTGTCAGATGGCTTTCGGAAATCCGTGAGTACTGAATATCTCAGTTTATAAGCCTGTGACTATTCTTTTCTGCTTTACTTTGCTCTTCTGTACGCTAGAAACCACTCACTGGATACGAAAGTATGGGTTTCTAAATATGTGGGGATTTTCCTTCTCACTTATTATTTTCCTTCATTTAAGGATATGCATGTGGGGCGTTTCTTGAATCTCTGACGTGAGCAGAAAAACTCAGTAGCCATAATAAACAACGGAAAGTATTTGTAGAACATTGTTCCAATTAATTTAAATAACAACATTTGGTTTTTCCCAGGTTTAATTTTTAAATCATAAGCTTTCGTTTGATTCATGATTCACTGTCATCATTCACTGTCCATTCCGAAATCGTTGTAATTTAGACACAACATGTTGTGCGCCGTTCTTCTACCGTGATGCCTAGTTTGGACAAAACTGTATTTTTCTAATTCTTTGTGCGTCCTTGTAGTGTTAGTCATGTGCATTTTTACATTGTTCTGAATCGGGAATGAATCGAGTAGTGTTCCTGTTAATTCGTCTTTCCTCTCCTGATTTTTAGCTAGTTAGGTGATCATATAGTCCTCGTCTCTCCGACCCAAACGCCGTTTGCTCGTAAACTGAACTTACGCCTTAATAATCTCAAGGTTGAACTAGACAGTCTATCGTGTTTACAGCCGTAAACTAAATGGAAAAAACTTCTCTCCTGTATATTATTGGGTAGATGGTTAAAGGACGTGACGATCTTATTTTGTACATAGGAATTATCGTAAAGTGCTGTTGATCGATTGATTGTGCCTGACTTGCTTTGTTATGATAATCACTGACTCGATTTATTCATAGAATATATACGGAGTTACGTTAAAAATTATATTTCATCATTCATCATTACTGATTAGAGTAAACGAAGAGCACGAAACTCATTGAGCTTTAATTCCGTGCGGCACACATTCTACATGATAATAACATTATATAGATAGTGCATCCTCCTATCGGTTTAGAAACTTACTCTGGATATCGCCCTTAACATTTTCTTCAGTTCGGTTTTCATTTTCAGTTTGGGAAGGACAGACGGCTGTGTGGCTTGTATTAGTCCTGACAATGATGGTCTCTCAGTTGATCCAACTTTCTTTTGAAAGAGTCGACAGATGGCGCTTCAAACACCTGTTGAAGTAATGAATTCCGCTTGTTGATGCTTCAGTAGGAAAGTTGGTAGTAAACTGACAAGTAATTCGGTCTGGGTTTGTGAACTTTTCTGTTGTCCTCGTAAATTCTCTGTTTTGGAAGACAAGAAAAGTGATGGCATATCATATGCAAATTTATTACTAAGTAATTTAGAAAGTGTAATTAATTCACCCCTGGTTCCTCAAAATGACAACAGGAACATACTTATCCAGTCGAGCATCCTGTGGGAGTCTCGTTATCTCGGGAATAACCATAGTTGTTGTTCTCTGAACCTTTTCCAAAAATCACTATCTTTTCTAAGCTGGATCTAGCCGCCTGTATGTAGTACTCAAGTTTAGGACGTGCGAGTATTGTGTACATGGTCATGAACGTTTGAGCGTCAAAATGCTTAGAGGCCCTACGTATTGACCAGAGTGTTCTAGGCCCTTTGGCGGCTACTGTACGACAGTGTGCAGTAGTTTTTAAGTCTTGGCTGACTATGACTCCAAAGTCATTGTACGTCTGGGCAACAGGTAGTTCAGTGTTATTCATCATGTCTGTATCTGTACCTCGATGATCAATATGTATCACAATGAACTTAGAAGCATTTGTCGGTGACTCCTAGTTCGAGACCATTCAGGTAATTTCTCCAGGTCATTTTGAAGCTCAAAGATATCACCTCTACTTTTTATCGCTCTATAGTATTCTAATTGTCGTATGAATTAGGAATTCCAGTATTAATGCAATTGAATTAAGAAGACACAGGCACCAACGAATGTATTGTATTTAGAATTCGAAATCAAGAATTCAACCAGTAGCAAGGTATCATTGGTTCATTCAAACACCACACGCTCTCTATATTGTCAGCACATAGCAAAACCCATGATAGTAGGAAACGAGGAAGGTCATTTACATATAAGAGGAATAACACTGGTTCACCCATACTCTTTGCTGATGCTCAACCAGGAAGTCGTTCATCCACGTTGATAGAATGCCTCCAACTCCGAAATTCCTTAATTTACATAACAGCCGGTCGTAAAGAACTTTATCAAAAGCTTTTCTGAAGTCGATGTAGGCTACGTCTATAGGTCACTTTTGGTCTTTAAGAGCGCACCAGCTTTCACGAGCGACTAATAAGTAAGCTAGACAGGAAAAACCTATTCTAAAGCCATGCTACTTCTCCGAAAGAATCCAGTTCTCATCGAGACACTTAAAAAGCTCCTTCCAAATAATCTTTTCTAAAATTTTGAGAACCACGATGGTTAGGTTAACAGGTCGATAGTTCTTAGGTTTATATTTCGTACCTGTTTTGAAGACAGGATTTACTATGGCGTTCTTCCAGTCTTTTGGTAATCGATGCCAAGTTTAGAGAGAAGCCCACCAAGTCAGAATTTCTCAATAAAAGGCCAGCTAGTGGGGCATTTTTCCCGCTTACTAAATGCAGTTAGCCTATGCGTTATTCTATCAAATGAAGTTATCGACTTTGTTTATTTAACAGAGAACTTGATGTTTTAGTCGAATACTCAGAATAGCATTATATAGTGATTTACTGAAACTAATAATAACGTGCTGCTAGAAACAGAAGCTTCTGTCTTGTACACAACTATTTGATGCGTTTTTTGAGACAAATTGAAATATTGTACGCGCCTTAATTACAACTTGCGTAACTATGTCAGAACGTTCGGAAATGGAACATGCTGTAGCTAGAGTTGGTGCTGGGACAATCCCCCTGTCGATCCTAATTGAATTCATCTCACAGAAAGTTTACACTGATCTTATGCGTCTTATTGATCTGTGAGTTATTCTAAATAAGTAGGGTTACAGCGTAGGTTGCCAAGCAAAACAGATCTTGAAAAGAAGATAGAAATCGCTACATTCTTTAGTCGTACTCAACATCTTTTCATAAGGCTCGAGGCCTTAGTTAAGTGGTCAAATAGTGCATCAAAGGTCGACAAATGTGAGGTAATATCTTCAGAATTGTATGGATCTTTTAAGAAAATTTCAAACTTTTTAGAAGAGCAAAGTTTCTTTTTGATAAGCACAGCAAACGCCTTATCTAGGCTTCTTAGAGAGACTTTAGTCAGTGCCAGGTAGACTCATACCGCTGTTAAATGGATTTCAGGTTGCCACCGTTTTCTGTACTTCTTGCAATTGATATATTCACAAATAAAGGATATACTCGTCTCCCAAAGTCCATTAAAGTAACTCGTCATTGATTTTTAACGTTTAAGAACTCTGCTTTTGTTGCTGAATCTGCCACTGAAAAAGAAAGAAAGCAAGCCCTCATCGATCTTAACTGCATCATCCAAAATCGCCTTAGCCTTACCCAGCTACCTCATCAATTCCGGACTATAAAAATAGGTATGATTTTATCTAGTATTTTATAGTTTTAGCTGATGGACGTGCACAATTTGTCGTCCAGAATGAATTTGCTGTAGGTTGTCGAGTTCTTGTTGATAACTTCATCTAGGTTACTGTCACCCTCATGTCCGAAGCGCTTGACTTCCCTTGGAGAATTTTAGATCTCAAATTTTTACTTAAAGACTCATCGATGAGTAAGTCTACTGTGTACGATGTTTAAAAAGTACTTTAAGTTCTAGTTATTAGAGGTTTTTATTGAAGTCACATCGTCCTGTATATTTCCTAAATATTTGCTTACTAACCATTTTAATTCAGATTGAAATTTTTACAGCTATATTTAATAGTACCTTAAGGACATCTGATACGTGTACTTAAGTACTCTTTTTGATGTTTTTCCCAGTATGTTCCTCAGTTTTTATATGCGATGGAGATGAGTCCTCTCAAATGTTCGAACATAAAGGTTATCTCCCAGCGTTTATGCTGCATCTATCATACAGTATGCAGCAATTTGTTACTTGTAGCCTCAGAATTTCAAACATATGTGCTTTGTTATAGAGGGGAAAACTTACAACTCCCCAAGTTAGTGTCCTACCAGCATTAATTTCAAACGTCGACACCGTTTTAATTCTGCAATGTGTGTATTTGCTTCTATACATAAATCTGTTGCATCCGTTTTTAGTTAATCATTCACCGTTCTTTAATGATGTCCAAACTATGATTATCAGCAAAGGGAATATGGTTTTCTAGTTTATCTTATTGAAGAAATTCAAACTACCCAAAAACTTATTGATATGTGCGAGCTTTCGGTACCGTTATATGTAATATTAGAATGATCAAATTCAGGGTGAGAAAAATAGTCCAAACTTACAAAAGATCACTGCTTGGTAATTCATCATTGGAAGCAATTGTTGCAAAGTTTCACTGATAAATGTTTGTTTCTTATTTTTGCATATTATTTCCAGACTATCAAAATCTTGTTCATCCGGCGCAAACAAGCCTCATAATTAACCAAGCCCAGTCTCGTCTGCTCTATCGACAGTTTGATAGGCGTCCACCTCTTGTCCACCTTTACGACATGTTGCGTATCCTTTTTGTGAGTGAATATCGAATCGGTCGTCTATATTAATGTACTGTAGTATGATTTCCTCTCAGTTTTAGTCACAGATCTTTTTCCATAATCATCCACTGCTAAGAATAGTTATTGTTATAGTATTTTGTCGTATCTGAATATTTACCGGTTGTTTCTATTTTAATGACTGTTATTAGTAGCTTGGGTTTTAGATGTTCTCATGGTATGACGATTTAGAAATTTTATGCGTGAAGTTGCGCTGAAGAGGATTATACTAAGTAATAATATAGTGAGACCATTATTTTACAAATAAGATTCGATTAACAGGCTCATTCATAAGAACTGTGTGGATGACTTCGATGAGTTTGACTTGTTATAGTCCATAGTAAGATTGGTCTACCAGAAACTTTCATGTTTACTTTTTACTATCCTGTTACAATAAATTATTTCTTACTATAAACGCATTTAAAATTATATTATTATTAGTCATCAATGAGAAAAGTCGTGTAAAGAATAAGTCGTAGATCAACCCCATCTTGAATTTCTAAAACTAATTGTGAACCTGCATTAATAAAACTTCTGGAGTTGTATATGTAGAAATTTGACATGTCACTTTTTTACCGTAGGTTAAGGTTAGCAGTTAAACTCAAGTAAGATTAAAATGAGTTGATTTGGACAGTTTAATTTGAAAATAGTAAACTTATTGTTAACATTCTTTCCGCTCCACCATTGATAATAGTTCATTTGGCTTTTATGTATTCGATCCATTCAACTAACTACATTACTTTCTATGATGTATAATTTTACCTCTGATTTTCTTGGATTGATATAACACCTACACCACAAGCTACCTCTTATATAACACTAGTCAGTTTGAATTTCTTGTTTTAGGTGATGTGTAGTTATGTATATTATATGGTTTCATATGCTCATTTAATAAAACAGGTATAACTGCTCATATGTTGTGACCAGTATCACCAATTAAATATTGTTCATCAATGCAGGGTCTATTAAGTAACTAATATTGTACTAATACCCATATGTTTGTCAATAAAGTGTACTGAGATTTTGGATTCCTTTTTTGTAACGTTATGTTTATTCATTCATCTTCCCTATACTCTCACTAAACAATATACAACAATACTTCTAATAATAGTTGATATATCTAATTGGTTTGCAAATGTTGAATAAATGAAAACGTACTCATTATTTTATTGTTATCACCTGCTAGGTTTTTAACCACAATCATTTCTTAACATGACGTGTATAATGTGTAGATGCATTTAGTTTATCACTTCAATTGGATATGTTGCACGAACAAGCTCAACGGGCACGTTCAAAGCGACCACCAGATCAACTTACAATCGAAGCATATAGACCTAGCAGATGTTTGTCGATCTCTTATTGGCATGGTTTAGCTAGAACTCAGTATAATTCAGTTATGGGTCTAGATGGAAAGTTACATGCTACAGGTATGTATGAATATATGTGTTTATGTTTTGTGTATAAAGATAATGTTTTGATCTATAGAATAAACACTAGTAAACTTATAAAACAATGATTTTGATGATGGTTTGTTTTCTGTCATTTCTCTTGAGGAGGTAGTAAATCACCATCACCCTAGGTGGTTGAGAGGTGCTTTATGTATGCCTAAACACCGCCTACCCCGACGAGCGATGTTGTCTGGTGTAGGAGTAGGCTGGGAGGATTTCATTTGTCTTTGATAGTGGGATGGGTGTGGCAATTTGAACCGGTGTACTAGGCTTTATGCTGTAACTGGGTGACTGAAATCTTTTCCAACGAGCTCATTTTCAAAGTTGTACCATCAGATATGTATTAAGTTCTAAGCCTAAAAATGATATTTCTGCGTTTTAATTAGAAAACTGACTACATATTATTGAAAGTTGTTAATTATGTAACTTAGAAAATATCTAATGGTTAGTATCAGTCAATTTACTATGTGTATAATTAATGTAAAGATTAAAATGAAGATTATACGTTATACAGGGTAACATAAACGTAAGTGAAAGAGATGGATTTTCGCAATAACAAATTATAAAGCGTAAGGAGAAGTGAGAATCTGTGGTAATTTCTGGCTGTAAAACGCAACGATTAAAAATTTTAGACGTGCACTGGCTACTGGTAGCCACTGCTAGGGAAGTCCTACTCACTGCCTTCTCGTGGCTGGGGCATTCTTTACAAAATTGAGAGAACGAAAAGTGAGTTTCCGGCTCTTTAACCGGGTTAGTGGGTACGGAAGATCCATCTAGGGGAGTTGGGAAACCCTGATTCCACATCAATGGTGCACAGGGGCTCCAGGATCAGGGAACAGATTTATTGTCAGTCACTGTCTTCCATGGGACTGCATCTCCTACCGTTGCTCCACTGCCTTGGGGATTAAGCCTCTAAATCATAGGTTTGTGTCGTGGCCGTCTAAGAAAACCACCTACCTCGATTTAGGTGCCCAGACAGTATCCCAACCCTCACACAAATCGAATGATGATTACGAATGGAAAAACTATTCTTGCTTCAATGCATTCACATTCTGATAAATCACCTACACAATCATTTGGTAGCATTCGGATTTATTTTCTATATTACGTCACTTATTTAATACTTTCTATTCTCATTTTGTGTATCCTTTTATTTTTCGACTTATACAGCAGCTCACCTGTGGAGAAAACCATGTCCTCTTTAAACGACTTAAATTCACTGATTTATTTCATTGTCACACACTAATTTCTGTTCGTTGTTGCTCTTGTTTTTATTATACCCTCCCTCCATTCTCTATCTCCTCACAACTATTATTATGTGGTGCATATGTATTCGGTGCCCCCTTGTACCAATGTTTATGTGTCCAGATAAACAAAATTCTGATTCCTGGCACTATTTTGATGCCGTTCTTAATCAACTATCCCTTGTCGAGTAATATTTTGTCCTCTACTTTATTACTTCTGAATGTAACATAAATTGGCAGAATATTGTTTATGACCCCACCCCTTAATCTTTTCAGCTTATTTACTTACCATTCATGTTGATCCAACGGAACCTCAGAGACCACTCTGTGTTAGTCATCGTCCTGAGCTTACTACTTCGAAATCTCAATTAGTTGGAGCTACTGTACAAGTGAGTATCGATTCATGAATATATTATGCTATGACCATAGAAGAATATTACAGTTAGTAATTAATTACATTAATCTGAAACTTGACGGGCTGAATATATACTGTATGGAACAGCAGTAGAAATCTTTAACTGAAGCAAATTTAAATTTTAGTTTCATACGATGTGTTGCAATCGGCTCCACAACGTTTAAGGAACAGATATAAATAAGTTTTCTGGTTAATTACATGCCACAGTGACGGCAGTAGCTTTCCGATAAATATTCTGAACTATCGAAGAAATGAATAGAAAAGTCATTATCTTTTGACAGGGAATAGTGCTCTTGAAATTATTGGATTAAACGAATCATTGTTCTTTCTAAATAACGGATTCTGCAGGAACCAATATATATATATATATATATATATAAATCGATTAGGATAAATTATCTCATTTGTAGAATAAAATGTTAAATGTATAATAAATAATGTACAAGCTATCCA